TCACCAGTGGAATTTATCTTCATAAGTTCTCACTATGAGTTTCAATGCCTTTCCAAAGCCTTGTGTAGATTATCTGAGCTGCAGATCAGATAAATTATTATCTCAATGCCAGTTTTCTGCATTCTCAGAATTTTGTCAATAGCATCTGACAGGGTTTTTATGCCCCGTGGATGAAAGTGACAGCCAGCTTTCCCCTTTCTATCTCACTTTGGCAGCAGATCCATTACTTCCTGTCTTTGTGGTATTGAGATCCTCAGAATCTGAAGCACACCTACTCCTCTGTCTTTGACTGCTGTGTTTTCTAGATTTGTCTCTACCATAATCTTAGACTGGTCTAGTTGGCAATCTTTCCTTTATGTTAATTTGCACTTCTGATCTGTACAGTACCATCCATTGGCCATTTGATTTAATATATTGAAGAGTAAATATACCATATAATTAAACACAGAAAAATAGGAAACAAGACCATAGATCTGAAAATACTAATAAAAAAGGGATAGCCTATCTCTTAGTCTTGAGATTTGAAGGAAAGAATTTGTTCTATTTCTGTGAAGTTTCAAATTTACTTTTCCTAAAATATGCCCTTTAGTGGGGAAGAGAAAAAATAGAATTGAATTTTTGCCTCATCTAAGCATTTTAAAAAGGAAAATATTCAGACACCAAGTTCTAAGAAATTTAAAGAGTCATGGAGATATATCTTAGGCAGTCCTGGGATACATGAAATATGGCATATATCTCATGACATTTTGAGTGGGATGGTACCTTTCCCTATATACCACACACTGCCTGCTCCTCCATCTGATATGCTGATACAACACTTACTGTTCAAGTCCCATTGGAGCTACTTACTGACCTGGTCATTAAACTTTTGCTCATAGATGCCAATGATATGACTCTGGAATGTATTGAGCTTAACCGTCTCAGGCCATTCACAAAATTAAGCAACAAAGAATTCTTTCAAGAGTTTCTCCCTAAAGTCCAATTCTGCTTCTTCCAGGCTCTATCTCTATAGCCTTCAGAATTTGGAAATTTGAATTAATAATTGCCAAGTTTCCTACTACATATTGGTTTAAAGACTTGTTTTATCAATAGGAAAATATTTAATTTTAAATGTCACATAGAATTAGGAAAGACAAAGTAGGGTAGATGGCTTTTGGTCCAGATTTTTAGGTCTAGGATCTTGGACACAGGGTCACAGAAAATTTCATTTTATAAGTTTTATTATACTGTACCCCTTGACCTTATCTACTCCTGAGAGTTTTTTTAGAGGCTATGATGGACCCAGAGACTGTTGTGTCATACAAGATATGACTCCACAAGTAATATCTGAAACCATGTCTTTTTTTTTTTTTTTGTCTTGTACTTTTCCTCTAATGTCTATATTCTATTGAGTTTTTCTTTTATCTATTTTGTTCTTTCTACCAATAAATAATCAGGAATCAGACATTGGTGTATAAATCTACCAGAACACAGAAAGTGAAAAGCAACCAGTTAACGTTCCTTTGGGTCTCAAAACCCAGCAAGTGAGACCCTTTCCACCTGTCTCAAACCAAATAGATTCACAAATCTCTAAGTCCCTCCCTACTCCTTCTTGTGTGTCTCTCTGTCCATCTTCCTGTGTCCTCTTGGTTCTCTATGGCTAATTCTGGTCAATCTCTGACTTTGGCCTCTGACCCAAGGTTATTCTTATTAATACATTCTCAGAGTTTCATAGTGCAATCAAATATCTCAAATTACCATTCTATCTCTTCAGTATAAATAAAGACAAAAATGAAGGGAGGCATTTTGTATGTTGTCAATTATATGTATATCAATTTATAGATGTTACAAAAACACTGTTATCCTGCCTTGGAATGTGATGTTCTTATTTGGAAAACACAAATTGGACATTGTAGCTTTAAAATAATGGCATATATGTGTGTACAAAAATAATTAATGGAAAAAGAGCCCATTGATTTCATTTGAAAAAGAGCAAGGAGGGTAATATGGAAGAGTTTGGTGGGAGGAATGGTAAGATAAAAATATGTAATTTGTATTATGATTGTAGAAAATAAAAGAATTAATTTATAAAGTAAAAAAAAAAGGGAAAGAATGCAAAATTGGACCAGGAAAGTAGCTAGAAAATCTGGTTGGACTTTGGAGGTGAAAACACCAAATATATCATATGAATTTATCAAGGCATTAATAAAATATTATTTTAAACTGCTATTCAGTTAACATCCTTAATACTAGGAGCAGTCTTCAGTATCATCCTACATAGAAAAAAATAAAAGTCAAGAAAATATTCCTTTGATGTGGGATAGGTCCCCTGAATTTATTCCAAGAAATAAAGAACTTTAGCTTTTAAAAAGTTTTTGTTTTATTTTACTTTCTGAAGCTTTTTTTTTTTTAGTTTATACTATAATTGCATCATATCATTTACCTTTTCCTTTTATTCACCCAAAAGCTCTTACATATCCCTCACTCTCTTTCAAATTCATGGGTTCTTTTTCTTTAATTTTTGCTATATGTGTATATACATATTCCCAGATAAATGAATATAACCTCCTCAGTCCATATAATGTTATTTGTATGTATGTTTTCAGAGTTGATCATTTGGTATTAAATAACCAAATGATCTTCTCTAGGGAAGACTATTTCTCCATCTTCATTGAAAGAAGTTATGACAGGGGCTTAAACAGGGCAGGAACCTTGAGGCAGGAGCTGATGCAGAAGCCATTGAGGGAAGCTGCTTATTGGCTTGCCCTTCATGATTTGTTCAGCCTGCTTTCTTAGAGAACCCAGAATAACTATGCTTGGGCTGGCTCCAACTACAATGGGCTGGCTCTTCCTTATCAACCACTAAGAAGAGAATATCTTACAGCTAAATACTATGAAGGCATTTTCTCAATTGAAGTCTCTCCTTTCAGATAACTCTAGTTGAGAAAGGTTGACATAAAACTAATGAACATAGTAATGGTTTGTTTTCTTCTCTGAGTTACTCATAAATTCCAGAAGCTCTGTAAAATTATCACCATTTTGTGACATGGCCAGGATGTCAGAGTCCAGAGATACAGTGAAGGGATTTGAAGAGAATCAAACAGTTCATTACTCAATGTTATCTTATTATGCTAGTGTTTTATGTTGTTAATAACAATATATTTGGTAAGTTAAAAAAAGTGACAGATTTTGATGATCCCTCAATGGAAGGCCTCACCCTCCATGGGGGGGGGGAGAAAGAGGATGGGATGGGGGGCTGTTAGAGAAAGGCATGGGAGGATGGGACGGAGAGGGCACTGGGATTGATATGTAAAATAAGATTGTTCTAATTTAAATAAAATTTATTAAAAAAAAAAAAAAACCAAAACACTTGAATTACAGGTACAGGTTCATTTTTTATGTTTTTAATTGAAATCTAATTACAGACCTCATTTCCTGCCTCCAGAACTTCCCAGCTACCTTCTCTCAAACCTTTCCCATGGCCCCTCATTCTTTGTCTCTTTTTTATTATGTTTATTTCATTCAAGGGCATGTGCATACAGAAACACACAAATACATACACTAACTTGTATATATCTGGAACTTGTTTTTGTCCTACATAGTCTATATTTGTATTTGTATCTGTTTTGTTTTGAGGCTGACCACTCTGCATTTGGCAAAGAGCACTGGAATTCTTCCCAGAAGAAGCTATTTCTTCCCCTACCAGAAGTCATAAATTGCCTTTAATTCCCCCTTCCACATTATTATTATTTATATCTTGTTTATACAGCCATTTGTGATAGATTATCACAGCAAATACTCTGGATCTTGCAACCTTTCTATTCTCTCTTCTGTAGATTTCTCTAGCCATAGACGTGGTATCTGCTATGTAGATATATCCACTGGGGCTGAGCGCTCTACAAACTATTGAGAGAATATGTGTTGTTTCTCTTTTTGGGTCTGGTTAACTCACTAACTGTCATATTTCCAAGGTCTATTCATTTATATCTAATTTCGATGATTTTATTTCTTCTTTGCAGCTGGATAACTTCACCACTATCTGTATGGACCACATAGTGCATACAGATAATGGTGTATACCACTGAAGATAGCTTAAGGTTTTTTAAATTTTTTGTTACTTGGATATTGTAAATAGGGTAGCAATGAACATATCTGAGCAAGTGTTTGTTCTTTATGGTGCCATAGAACAACAAATACCATTTCCTAATGCTTTAAGAGGGATCAAAATCAACTTCAAAAGGGATTGGGAGTCAGAAAAGAGCATTTATCTTTCCATTACAACCACTGACTCCATCCTCATCCCCCACCCCCTTTAAGGAAAATGACCAGCCAAGTCAAGGTCTGGAACTCTGTGTAGCAAGATCACCTATCTAGTATCATCTGTCTGTTCTCCAAATAAGACTTTTTATATAATTTTACTAAGTTAAAATGCCTACTACTCAGCAGTGTCTGGGACCAGACTTAACAAGGTAATGGTTAGACAGAACTATATTTCTGGCTTAAATTTCTATTTGTTGATTTTATTATTTTATATATGTTTGTTGATCAAAACTGTACCTGGACAGGCTTTCATGGACATGCTTTTCCTACAGTAAACACTGTGAATTAATGGCTATGTAAAGCTCATTCTATTCTGGGAAGGTTTCTAAAAACAGCAATTACTTCCATTTGAACAAAAATACTAAAAAAACTTATCCCTAGGAAAACAATATTCAACATAAGAAGCCCATGCTGAAAGTTACAGTTTTGATCCAAGTATTTGTATACTGTAGTTTCAAAGATTATATATTGATGTCCATGTCAGATGCCATGAGATCACCAGACCAAATTTGTTACCATAGTACAATAGTTTACACCAAAGTGAGATCTTAAACAGTGCTTCATATTGTGATTATATTATGCCATATCAAAAAGTAATAAACAACAATCAAGCAGGTTTCTATTGAAATACTTTGTTGAGTTTCTTCTGCATGAAATGTTGCCAACTTGTTCAAATTTTACAAGTTTTTCTCAAAGAATAGTCAAAGTCGTGTTCTGGAATAAGGCAAGATGAATAAGCGATGCAAACCATTCTGAATCTGTTTGGTCTTAATGCTATAGATGACAGGGTTCATAAAAGGTGGGAAAAGGAAGCAGATGTAGCTCATTGTGATATGGACCACATGAGGAGCGTGCTTTCCAAATCTGTGAATAAATGTCAGACCAACCACAGTGACATAGAAGACCAGGATGCAACAGATATGGGAAACACATGTATTGAGGGCCTTACTCCGCTTCTGTAGAAGCAATCCCTGACAGTCTTGAGAATTAAAATGTAGGAGAAACAAATAATCAGAAAATCTAAAAGTCCCATACCAAATACAACAATAATTGGATAGAGAAGATTGAATGTGATGTCAGCACAGGCTAGCTTGATGACATCTTGGTGTAGACAAAAAGCATGAGAGAGTACATGGGATCGGCAATAGGGAAACCAATGCAGACGAATGATTATTGGCATGATTGATAGACCAGCCCTAATAAATACACCAACACCAATCTTTATTACCCTAGTATCTGTAAGGATGGTGGAATATCTTAATGGGTTTCTAATGGCAATGAAACGGTCATAGGCCATTGCAAGCAAGACCCCTGACTCTACAATAGAGAGCGTGTGGATAAAGTAGGACTGAGAGAAGCAGGCTCCATGGCCGATCTCCCTGTGATTTAACCACAGTACACCCAGCACTGTGGGCATGGTGGTCAATGTTACTCCAAGATCTGTAGCTGCCAGCATAGCTAAGAAATAGTACATGGGCTCATGGAGGTTGTGGTCATCCTTAATGAGAAAAAGAAGGGTGCCATTGCCAAAAAGTATGGAGATATAGGCCATCAGCAGTGGGAGAGATATCAGGTGATGGGCTTTCTCCAGACCTGGGAAGCCAGTGAGCAGAAATGGGCAGGTTGACATGTTAAGCCACACTGAGGGCATTGTAGAGAAAAATTTCCACGTCAGTTCTTTGGGGTTTTCCCTTTGGAGATGTTACCTGCAATGTGGGTGTTCAGGGGTCCTTCTTTCCAACAGCAATGACAATTCAATCATTCCTGGGTGCTTTCAAGGTATGGAAAAACAGGGTATATAAAGAACAGCTCTATAATTATTTAGAGTTCACTATAAGACTACTGGAGTGTGTGCTAGATAGAACTATGCATGAAGAGTACATCTGTATGAAGTCTTTGTTAATTCTGTACTAGAAACAAAATGAAGGGAGAAATCACTATAATTGAGTATTTTTCTAACAGTGTATGTGCTTATACAATATTTTTCATGGTACTATGCATCTTGACTGTGGGTGGTGAGATTGCCCTGAACATTTCCCAGAACAAATGAAACCTAGAAGGTCAGAAAGCAACCAAGCATTGTTTGAAAATCAAGTATGGACCTCTACATCAGAAGTAATATAAACATATAAACAAATACATAAAGGATATTTAAATACAGGGATTGATATGTTTATTGTATCAATAATGGTTATCCAATTGATAAAATTATAGAGATTGAAAGAGGCTTCAAAATGATATAAAACTGACCTTTATGCATTTGTCTCTAAACTAATAAGCCTCTCTTTTTGAGCAGTGTAATACTCTAGCTTTTGGTAAACTCTATCAGAAACTTCAGAATTTCATTACCTGTATTATTTAATAATATATGTTTCATTATATATATTCATATTTAATGATTTCATAATACATTTACAAAAGAGAGACTATAATAATTGTTTGAAGGCACTGTTTGGTAATACAAGATAAATGACTATAACATACAACCTATTTAGAAAAACAAAAATAAATATGGATTTTTTTATTGTTGGAAAACTCATATATGCATATTGATTGTGATTTAAAGGCTATGAAGTCAGATAGAATTTACTTACCCCAAGAAAGGTTTGTGACTCAGAATTCTAAGGTACCATTGAATACTAGCAGTCATCTTCCAGCATCATCCAGCAAAAATATAATCATTTTCTTTTATGTTTGGTGTGGACTACATGCTGTACAATCTACATTTTTGGTGTACTCTTAAATGTTACATGACCCGCTTTCATCTATGGACTTCATTCCTCAAGACTTTGGTTGCCATTCCACTACTGCTGTTTTCTAATAGTACAGAAACCTAGGGAGCCACTTAAGATTTGCAGTTGTCATTTATAAAAGATGATAACTATATTTGTCTTCATCTTGTTAAGAATAAATGAAAATTGCTAAAGATAATGCCTTCTTCACTTTGAAGCTTTTGTTACTACAAAAACTGCAATGGATAAACATCTGTCTTATCAAGCTTTAGACTTGTCAAGTGATAACATTTCCTTATGAAATCAATAGGAAAAAAGAATATGATAATACAGGGGTTTTACTTTAAGCAATGGACTTAGTTGAGTGGCAGATGTTGTGCTGGGCAAGATAAAGCTGTGGAGTGGTTAAATGAGAAATTCTGACATTTCTGATAGTGGGACTGTGAAAAGTTGAAGAAAACAACTTTTGTCAACATTTGAGGAAAGTAGAGACAGTTTTAGAGAAAAAAAATCACAGGGTTAAAAGAATGCAAGTCAGAAAAATTAGAAGGCAAAAGAAAAGACAAACACACAATTCATCTCATTGGCACTCTGGTTTGCTCTCACACCCTTCTTTGAAGTTAACTTTAGCGTTGTTTTTGCTATTGTTATTATTAATACTATTATTAATAATAACAATTGAGAATTTAATATGTGCATCTAATGAAATACACTTTATTTATTATCCCCAGCAAATTTCTCCACGCACTGACCCAAATTTTGGGTCTTCTTTTTTATATTTTTTATATTTTATATTTATATTTTACACTGGCATAGGTAACCCCTAAAGAAAACATGCTGCAGGCACAGAGGGGAGATTTTTAGACCCATGACCATCACCCATAGGTTCTTAGCTGGCAATACTGCTGTTTTTCTCTTACTGAAAGTTCAGATACCTGTTTCCAGTTTTGCCCTGCCCTGGTACCTAAGAGCCCTAAAAGAACATTCATTCCATACCCTCACTGACCTGAGATTTTAACCTTGTCCATTCATTAATGCCATTGTCAGGGAGCTTCAGATATTTAGCTTTGTGAAGAATTTGGTCAAAACACCTTTGTTCAGACACTGCACAAAAGCCTGGCTAGTAGGAGCCTTTATTCAGAAGTATCTCCCCAGGGATCAATTGTAATTTAGGTTACTTGTTTCTCCTCCTTCTTTTGGTCATTTCTTTTCTCCTTATGCCTGTCTCCCCCAGTGCACCCTCCTTTGTGTGTACTCTGAATCTTGGGATTATGGAACTTTTATCAGCAATCTCCAAGACTTTTATTTATATTCTAACTTTCACTTGAGCCTGTTGACAGGATGGTAATATAACTCTATTAAGATATGGAAACCTAAACACAATGGTTAGGAATCTGTACTGCAACCATGTTTTGGGAAAATTATATTTTCCACTGTGTTTAAGAAACCTGAATCCTGAACCTAAAATAGGTAATATGTGTAAATTAAAGAACAAGATTTTTGTTGAAGCAAGAGTACCCAGGTAATAATGCCCTATTAGGTATTTGTGTTATTGTTAATCAACCAATCACCAATTCACTGATGGCCATTCATTCATTATAGTATTTTCCTGTTACAGGTTAGGTTATTCAAAATAAGATGCTATTGGCACAGTTCACAGCAAAACGTTCATTATTAGAAAACTAGTAAAATAAAAATGTATAGAATTGAAAAGAAGAAATATTACTGAGGTATAGCTTGAATGATCAGGCCTTTAAAACTCCTCCTCAATTAGTCAGTAGATGAGATCTTCTGGCACCATGAGGTCATAATATTGAGCACAATGGTTCTCTATAGCTTGCCATCTGGTATTGATGGAGAGGTGGAGACTGGATGCTGATCCCACTACCATGACTGTGCAGGAAGTCTTTCCTTGAAAAGAAATCTGGACAGTATATTCTAATATCATCAGTAGCATCCATTGATATCCTACATAGCTGAGAATTGTGTATCACATCAGAATCCCAACAATTAAGAGACAGAGCAGGAAGATCACAACTTTAGGACCAAGCTGGAATATGTAGAAAGTGCTTGTCTAGCTAGAAAAAGAGATTGGAGAGATGGCTCAGCAGTTAAGAGTGCTTACGGTTGGTTCTTCCATAGGACTTAGTTTTAATTCCCAGCATCCACGTAGTATTTATAAACTGTAACTCCAGATCCTAGAAGGTTTACATTCACATCAGATCCTAGAAGGTTTACATTCACATCCTTAACCTAAGTTTCTACCTTACACAAATCAATCAACAATTAGAGAATGTATTAGCCAATAATATGTGGATGGTTCACTAGTTCCCTCCAACTAGATATCACAGGAACATATGCTTGAGCCTATATTAAATAAGTGAGTGATCAAAATGCATCTTAAACTCAAAAGACACTAATTGACCTTTACATCCAAAGGCTTATTTAACAAAATAAAACTACAAACAAAAAGAAAAAAGTTCTTCATATTGAAGTTTAGTGTCTAGTATTAAAATAAAACACTTCCTACTGTAGAATTTAATGTATCATAATATATGAAAAATATTGGTAAATTAAATAATATTTATAGTTAACAAGAAACTTAAAAATATACACTTATATTCATATATAATTCAAAATTGCTGTTGCATAGCAGCAACATTTCAATAAAAGGTGGATTTATAGTAAAATGACAGGATATAAGAACAGAAAAATAGTTTATCTAAAGCCAAATTGCTCAAATTGTATTTTTTTTATAAAGCTGTTGGCCAATGGATAGAGCTTCTTATTGGCTAGCTCTGTCTTAAATATTAACTCAGTTCTATCAATCTAAGTATTTCCAAGTGGTCTTGGCTTACTGGGAATGCCAGACCTCCGTCTCTTTTGCCTGCTACATCTCTGCAGAGAAGAGAGAAATTTCCTGTTTGTCCCTGCTTATATTCTGATTCTGCCCATCTATGTCACTTCCTGCTAGTCTATACAGACCTCCAGACTTTATGATTGGCTAGTGGCAGTATCTGCCATGCTATGTCACTTCCTACCTGGCCAATCAGTGTTTTATTCATCAACAAATAAGATAAACATATATACAGAAGAATATTTCCTATCATCTCCTCTTTTCTGTCTAAATAAAAAGAGGGGTTTTAACTTTAACATAGTAAAATTACATATAACAAAGCAGTTGTTAAATAAGAACCATAGTTAACAATATTTAGCCCATTAACATTTAGCAAGATTTAAAGAAAATATTCCAGCACTTATCCTATTTTTGTGAGACTAAAGTCGTATATGTAACTTATCTTTAATCCTAACTAAGGAAAACTATAACCATAACTATCTGTCTTCACTCCATCAAAGACCACAGAAGGATAATATATAAACTTTAAAAATGATAGAGACAACTCACTGCCTGGTCAGTCACCTGAAGTTCTTCTGTAATTTTCCATCTTCAGCCTGTAGGCCATAGGGTGTCTGGCAGACTTCTCAGCAAAACAGGAAATTTCAAATTGTCCCACCTGTGTTGGCAATTTGTCAGTCATTTTTTTTCTGTGTCCTGCAGAATGTCTGGCAGAGTCTTCCATGAAGCAGTAACACTGTAGCAATCTCCATCTTCTTTCAGCAGTCACTTTTCTGTGGGTCTTGCAGGTCTACTTTATAAAGTATATAGTTAAAGAATCTAATAAGAGCAGTATCTTGCCCAAATGGCTAGTCTTGCCATATTGGAACCAAACTCCACAATGAGTTTCTTTGATTTCCATCTTCCTTTCTTACCCAGGTGGTGTTGCCAGGAGCAGTAATATCTCACTGTCAAGAAAGACCCTGACCATCTTAAATGCTATATTATGAAGGTCTTTAAAAGGTTTGATGAATAGTTATCCACCTCAAATATATCTCTGAATATCTAGAAATACTAACTAAC